GGACGGGTTCTTGGTCCAAAATGAAGTACCCGTGCATCCTAGCTAAAAATCAACATTTGGATGCAACTGCAATATCTGCTTTTTTGTTGTTCTTTTAATTTCGTTTGAAATGATTAAATGACACTAATCTTATTCTTAACACGAAATCTAGAGTTGGCTTCTTAGGGATTACTTAATTGGGCCTATTCTTGTAGAGATTGGGCTTTATAAAAAATCACATTCCAAATGCTTGTGAAACAAACGCCCATTAACAAAACAAATGCTCTCATGGTTGCCTTGTGTTTGTACTTATCATGTACTCTTCAAACAAAGTGGATAATATTAAATAGTTAAACTGTTTGATTTGAAAATGCATGATACTGAATAATCTATTAATAGATTATTCTTCTGCCTACCATGCTCGCTCCTCTCCACTTACCATCTTATCAAAGCTAAACAGAGATTCGTCGAACTACCGGACCGCGTTAAGGTTTGGTATCCAAAACTATTCCAATCAATGAAAACCTTAGCACAAAATACACAAGAAAATATTATTTTAAGTTTCAAATTAGTGTGATAGAAATGATAAAAGTATCTTAACAAAAAAAATCGTTTAAAAGAGAAAAGTATTTGATAACTTACATTAGAAAACCCGTGCACGTCACTTTGCAATGACATTAGTTGTCACAGTCTCCTGTAGATGGCAGATCTTTCGGGAACAGGTGATAGTGGACTGATGTTGATGATGCTAAAGTAATTGTCAAAGTCACCAACGTAACGAGAACGCCCATCATCTTCTAACAGCAGAACAAAGAAAAGAGAAAAAACTTGTATAAAATATTGAGATCATTAGAATCATTAATTATATCTCAAATGTATTATGTGTACATACCTCAAAGGGGACATACTCTTGTGTCGCCATGTGAGAAACGAGATACAAATGTCGTCGTCTTTCATCGACACGACCTAGTTAAACAAGTAGGTGGAATGAATCCATAAACTGCACCTAGTAATTAAGTAAAGAACATACCATAAGCAGAGCAATAAAACAACTCTAAACCAAAAAGAACATATCAAAACAGAACAATAAAACACCTTAGATTGATATAAGTTGAGACTTTTCTTTTTCTTCACTAAGATTATTTGTCGGATAAGATGGAAGACCCCTGTTTCGTCAACCTTGAGTATGCTGATCTCTTTGGAAATCAAAGAAGGCAGAGCAATGCGATTGTCATAATATCACAAAGCCTCATTGGAAATCAGAAAGTTTTCATTGTAAACATTGTATTGACCCATAAGGAGTTCGTATTCCAAGTCATAGGTCACAAGTGTAATACTGATCAAATGATAAATGTGTTAAAATTTAAAATTATTTTAAAAAAACAAATAAAAGTAATTTACTAATTAAATAATAAAAAATAAAATTTCTAATATTATCCATACTAATTCAGAAACAAAATTTAAGATGAAATAAAGACATGACATAAGCTATCAAATAAATAAATAATACAAACAAAATTAAAATGTCAATTAAAATAAATAAAAAGACTAATGATAAAAAAGAAGGTATATAAATTGAAAAAACAAAAGTTGGAAAGGTTATAAAAACCTCAATTTAAAAGTTTAATGATATACACAACCATAAAAAAAAACCATAAGAATACTTATTTTATCAATATAGAGTTATAGAATATCTCGAAAAAGGTGAAAATTTTCGACCTATGACACGGTTAGTACTTTTCAAATGTATATATTGAATATTTATATAAGTTAAAAAACTAATAATATTATATTTACTATCAAGTTAATATAAAATTTGACGAGTATAAATCTCTATGATCAATAAAACGATGACATTATTAAAATACAATTATCAATCATGTACTTATGTGATGGTTCACAACATTATTTATAGTTTTTATAAGGTTACTAACATAAAATTTACTTTTTCTGATTTAACGATATAGTATTTTATTATATTTTTATTTTCTATCACATAATTCATAAATATTCATAATGAGTTAAAATATATATTTTTCTGTTAGTAAGAATATGATTTAAATTTTGACTATATATATATATATATATATATTTGGATTTGCATGATATGAATTAGAGCATGAGAATTATGATATAAATTGAATTCTAATGGTTTTAAGATCCACGTTAAATATTATTTTAAAATTCAACGGATTATTAATTAAAATTAAAATATTTATTTCATTAATTTTTGTTGTATTTATCTACGTATTAATGCTGTTCCTATTCTAGTTTCTTATAATTGCATATTTCATAAATAGTTAAGGAAATTACAAAAATGCCATTTTTTATGTGCACATTTGCAAAAATGCCACTTAGGGGTGTTCATTTGCAAAAATACCACT